GATAAGTGATCAGCCACATAATTCTCTATTCCTTTACGATCTCGGATCTCCAAATCAAATTCCAGCAAGAGTAAAACCCAACTGATTAGCCTTGGTTTAGCATCTTTCTTTTCGAACAAATAGTTGAAGATTGCATGGTATGTGTAGACGATGACTTTGGTTCCAACCAAATAGGCCCGAAATTTATCGAACGCCAACACTACAACAACCAACCCCTTTTCTGTCACAGTATACTTTATTTGAGCAGGAGTAACAGTCTTGCTTGCGCAGTAAATGGAGTGAAAAGATTTTCTACTCCTCTGGCCCAACACGGCCACAATTGCACCATCACTAGCGTCACACATCAGCTCAAATGGCTCTTTCAAGTCAGGAGCCACTATGATTGGTGCACTCACTAACTTCTTTTTCACCTCCTCGAATGCTTTCAGACAAGCATCGTCAAACTTGAATGGCGCATCATTCTCTAACAACCTGCACAAATTAGAAGAAATTTTTGAGAAATCCTTTATAAATTGGCGATAAAAACCTACATGTCCAAGAAAACTCCTAACTCATTTCACTGAAATCGGTGGTGGAAACTTTTCAATTGCTTCCACCTTAGCTTTGTCAACTTCCAATCCATCTTTGGACACCTTGTTCCCCAACACTATACCTTCACCTACCATAAAATGGCACTCTTCCCAATTCAGTACCAGATTAGTCTCCTCACACCTGGCAAGCACTTTAGCAAGATTGGTCAAGCATTCATCAAAAAAAGGACCAAACAAAGAAAAATCATCCATAAAAACCTCCACAAACCATTCCACTATATCGGTGAAAATAGCCATCATACACCTTTGAAAAGTCACAGGTGCATTACACAACCCGAATGACATTCTCTTAAATGCATAAGAGCCATAAGGGCATGTAAAAGTGGTCTTTTCTTGATCTTCCAGGGCAATAGCAATCTGATTATACCCCGAATAGCCATCAAGGAAACAATAGTATTCCTCTCCGGCTAACCTGTCAAGCATTTGATCAATGAAGGGGAGGGGGAAGTGATCTTTTCGTGTAGCATTATTCAACTTACTATAATCTATGCATATTCACCAACCAATCACAGTTCTAGTTGGGATTAATTCATTTTGTTCATTCACTACAACAGTCATACCCCCTTTTTTAGGTACACATTGAACATAGCTTACCCACTTACTATCGGAGATGGGAAATACTATACCTGTGTCGAGCCACTTAATCACTTCTTTTCTTACCACCTCTTTCATGATTGGATTTAGGCGGCGTTGATGATCCACGCTAGGCTTGTGTCCCTCCTCTATGAGTATTTTGTGCATGCAGAATGCAGGGCTAATACCCTTTATGTCAGACATTGTCCAACCAATGGCATGATTGTGCTCCCTCCGCACCCTTAAGAGCTTTTCTTCCTGCAATTTAGACAAATGAGAAGAAATAATCACAGGTAAAGTGTTAAAACTACCTAAATATACATAATGAAGATGAGATGGTAAGGGTTTAAGTTCCAGTTTTGGAACCTCCCCTACTGAGGGTCTAGGGGGAAGGCCGATTGGCCTATCCAGAGGCTCAAACTGGGATCTTTCTCTTATGTATTCACAAGATGCATCCAAAATTTGCAACATCTCCACAACCTCTTGCTCCAGTTCCAAGTAATTGAACAACATCAATGTCTTTTCTAGTGCATCTTCTTTAAATGCACTTGGCTCTACGGCTGGTTCATTTATCTTCACTACAAAAATCATGGACAGGTCATCTCGTAATGACGAGGCAACTGAATGACTCGATATCCATTGAAGACCGCTTCTTCATTGTCCACCCTCAGGATCATCTTATCTTCTCGGACTTTGATAATGGCATCTCCAGTGGTCAAAAGAGGTCATCCCAAGATGATAGGAACTAACTCATCAGCCTCGTAGTCCAGGATGATAAAATCTGCAGGGAAAATAAACTTCCCAATCTGCAGCAAGACGTCCTCAATTACCCTCCCAGGATAAACATAAGATCTGTCAGCTAAATGTAGCAGCACCGTGGTGGGTCTCGGAGCTCCTAATCCCAATTGTTTGAACACTGACAATGACATCAGATTGATACTTGCACCCGAATCACACAAGGCTACCAACATCAATTTCAGCAATCCTCACGGGGATGGTAAATCTAGCCGGATCCTTAAGCTTTTGTGGAAGCTTATGTTTAATCCTGGAAGTGCACTCCTCAGTAAGTGCGCTGGTCTTAAATTCAGTTAACCTCCTCTTATTTGCCACTATATCCTTAATATATTTTTCATATTTTTGGACCTCACAGAGCATGTCCACCAAAGGGATGCTCAAGTGTATCTGCTTTAGCATATCTAAAAATTTGTGAAACATATTGTCATCATTCTTCTTACTCAGTCTTTGAGGAAAAGGAGGAGGCACCCTCCCTGATATTTTCTCAGACTTTATTTTGTTTCTCTTATCTACCTCTATATTTTTTGGCACTCTTTCTTCTTCGAGCCCAAACTCTTCCTTTTTCTTCTTAGGCACTTCTACTAACTCTCTCCCATTTCTCAACGTCACTGTATTGACTTGAGGATTTTTCTCTGTATCACTTGAGGGAGCTCTAACAGGTCTAGTATTTTGATTGTAGCCATTTGCCCAAACTGCCTCTCTAGATTTCTAAACTCTATGCGCAATTGTTGATTCTCAGCCATAACTTTCTGATTGTCTATCAAGAGCTTTTTCATAATGTCAGTCAAACTCTCTTCTGATTGCTGTGGAGGTTGAGGTGGATGATTATAATTCGCTTGAGGCTTGATGTTCTGATTTCCACCCCAAGAGAAGTTAGGATGATTCCTCCAGTTCAGATTGTATGTGTTACTATATTGAGAATTTTGATTCATTGGCCCTCTAGTTTGTTCCCCCACGTAGTAGATGGATTCAGGATTCACGGGGCATATGTCACTTGTGTGACCTTCACCACAAAACTCGTAGCAAGTAGACATCTTTTGCACATGCTGCATCTGTTGTGCTTGGTGCAGTGTAATCTTATTCATCTGATTTTCTAATCTCGCTATATCTGCCCTCATGGCTGAGAAATCATCAAGCTCGATCACACCTGGTGCCTTTTGTTTAAGCGCTCTTCGTGGTTTCCCATCTGCTGGCCAATTATTATTATTAGCAGTGAAATTGTTTAGCAGGATCTGGATCTCATTATACGGTCTTGCCATGCAACTACCCCCCACATGCTGAGTCAAGATTTATCTTTGATTCCTCGTCCAACCCATCAACTAAAGTGTGACGCAACACGTCATCAGTCTGACAATGATGTGGGCAGTGTCTGAGTAGCTTCTTGAATCTTTCCCAAGCTTGACGAAGAGTCTCGCCATCTCGTTGTTGAAACCCAAGAATCTGGCTCCTCAGCGACTTTGTCTTCTTAGTGGGAAAAAACTTGATTAAGAATTGCCTTGCTAGATCATCCCAATTGTGGATTGAGTTCGCGGGCTCCTTTTGCAACCATTCCTTAGCTTCCCTTAGCAGTGAAAAGGGAAACAGTGTCAGCCTGACATAGTCCTTGGAAATGTTCGGATAATTGTAAGTGTCTGTAATTTCAAGGAAGTTCTCAATGTGCCTCTGCGGGTCTTCATCAGATAGACCCACATATTGCCCTGTGGACTGAATCAGCTGTACCATGTATTGCTTTAGTTCAAAGTGACCCGTGATCTCAGGCTTCACAATTGCCTGAGTCATATTAGAAAGATTGGGCCTTGCAGCTTTTATAACCGGACGCCCTTCATTACCTGCCATCTCTATTGGTTGTGGTTGAACTACGATGTCCAACTCTCTTTCAATTCTAGTTCTATCTTCAACTTCCCTCCTCACTCTATGAAGCGTTCGTTCGATCTTAGGATAAAGAGGAAGGATATTGTTTTCGCTTCCACTACTCCGCATTCAACAGAAGAGCATGCGTTATCACAAATAAAGCAAACTAAAAATTAAAACTTGAACAAATAACTAATAAAAGCTTAACTTAGATAAATAATCAATAACTAAGTCCCAGGCAACGGCGCCAAAAACTTGTTGGTTCCCCAAGTACACACAAGTATATGTGGCCGTCAAGTAATAAAGTGACTCGAAAGTCGGATGTCGAACCCAAAGAGACTTAGATCAATTGTCAACTAAGCAAACAAAAAATAATTAAGTGTCCAAGATATTTAAGAGTGATGTTTTTCTATTAATCTATAATTACGGAAATTAAACAAGTAACAACTAATTTATCGAGAATGCAAATGTTTATGATGAGATNACTGTTAGGTATATTCTTATCCTAACCGCGAAATCGTCCCCCGAGCCACGGGTTCAGAAACAAGCTCTCTCTAATTCTATTCTAATCTAAACACAGCTTTCCCCAAGCATAGCATAGATAGTAGGGTGAATTGGTAGCTACAACAATTCACAAGTTAAAACTAGAATTAAAGAAACAACCACAATATGATAATCCGAATTAACGAAGATGTGCTTAGCCACTCATGTTCTTAGTAACAATGTTCCAAGTATTTTGTATAAACAAATTACAAAGAAAAGATAAATGAATGAAGAACTCGCTGATTTTCTCCTCCGAAAGTTGTTCCACGTGATGTTCTTGCCTCCGGTCGCAAAAACTCCTCTAAAAAGGGTGTTTAATGACTATTTATATGTGTAAGGAAAAAATCTAAACGAAATAACCAAGTCCAAAACAAAAAAGGAGACAATGTAGGCTTTAAAACCCGGAACACCCTCGCTACAGGCCTCACGGCGCGAGGCAAAATGCGAGCTTCATCTCGCTGTAGCCCGTGCGACGCAAGCTCTGTCGCGCTCTTGAATCCTCGCCTCGCCTGCTGTAACGCGAGAAATGTAGCTCGCTACGCCTACTGTTGCTTCGATTCAATTTTGTTGCCTAACATTTCCAATTCACGTTTTTGTTTCTTTTTTCAATTGTTATTTTTGACTTTTTTTTATTTGTCTCTTTTGTCTTCCTTTATAATGTTAAACTTTAATACTTATATATCCACTAATTAAATAATCATAACTCCATTCTTGTAGTGCATAAAATACACATAAAATCTCTACTTTGCTCCCAATTTCGTCTTCAACGTACCTACACATAAAATAAACTCAATTAAGCACAAATATAGTATAGTTTAGCATTAAAGCCCTAAAATGTAAGGTAAGTAATGCACTAAAAATATGGAATTATAGCCAAACATCACTACCCCACACTTAAACGTTGCTCGTCCTCGAGCAATCAAACTACCCTTTATATAGACACGACCTTTTTAAACAATTCTCCTAACTCTTCACCCCAAGAGTCTTTAAAATAGACTAAGCACAAGGGTGTAACATCTTCACCTCAAGATTTGACTCACAAGTACCATGCATTATTCACTACTCACTCACTTACTCTAACATAGAGGTAAATGACATTATTACCTTTCCTTCATGAGTCAAGTGCCCTCACCCAACAAAAGAGAGTAGTTCCACACACATTAAAATTTAAGAACAATTATTAACTCAAGATAGGA